CGGACAGGTACTTTTTTTTTTTTTTTGGGGTAAATAAATGTTCTGTGCAGCACTGCTGCGTACCTTACCCTTACCGGATTGCATTGAACGGATCCAATGCATGTTTTGTGTCCCATTAATCCGTGTAATGCGTGCAAGGAAAAGATGTATTGAGCATATAGGAAATGGTAACACGTAAAGGTGTCATGATTATATAAATTTCTATACATTAATTTTTAAAATATATATTAATTAGTCCAGCACTTGGTGGCCTAATGGTCACCCCCTTGTGAGAGTGCTTGGGACTAGAGAATTTGAGATCAAATCTTAAACTCCTCTTCCCTTTTTCCTGAAAAAATTTCACTCTATTCAAAATATCTATATATATATTAGTTAAGTTTAATTTGCGTTATTAGTAAAACCTATTAATTGTAATTGTTAGTTTATATTTTATAAAAGACAAAATTGTTAATATATATTATAAATTAAAATTAACTTATAAATTGATATTTTTAAATGTCATAATTGTTTATATATAAAAAAAAAACTATATGTATTCCTAACACTTTTTTGTATAGTCATAACAACCCCTGAGCATATACCTTAAGCTAGAGATTCATTCATATAAGGACATGACCTTTTAAAATATTTTTAATTAAAGATATAATCATTCAATTTTTCTTTTTAGTAAAGTTTTATGTATCCAATAAAACTAATATGCATACAGAAGCATAAAGTCATTTGCCACTACAAATAATTACTACTCTAATCAAAGAAAGAATTCAACTAGAACTAAAATAAAAAAGATAATATATATATATATATCTTTAATTAAAAAATTTTAAAATGTGATATTTTTAATTAAAAAAATTTTAAATTAAAGTTTTATCCCTATGTATACAAGATTTCCTTTAAAATGCAAGGTATATACTATGGGTGGGCAACTGGGCATTGCCCCACCCAATAGCAGGGGCACTACAAACTAGCGATATGATGGGCAACAACTTCTAACGTAGTAATAATAATAAAGGTTGCACCAAGTCTTATAGGTAAATTGTTAAATATATTCAATATCTTGATAATAATTAAAATTTGAGATATGACAATGTCATATTATTTCTCATCCTCTATTTTCAAATTGTGCATGTAAAAAAAAAGTAATAATAAAGGTAAAATTATTGTTGACATCTAGGAATGTCTCTTTTTACCAAAAATATCAAGGAGTGCCTCATGTCTGCCAATTTTTTTTTTTAAATAAGTTTTTATTTTTATTGTAGTGAGAAACTTCCTTTTTGATTGTTTTTGATTCTGTAGATTTAATTTGTCATCATTTAATTTCATTAGATATTCAAAAGTTAAAGGATTATTGTTAAGAATTTTACCTAGAACTTGAAGTTTTATGGCAATTTTACTTTGGATTTGAGATTTTGTAACAAAACAGCAGGGCATTGGTAAACAAAATCCATGTCCGTATAGTGCCGATTGTCAACAATGATCAATTGCCTAAAATTCTTCAATACAGTATATTGCCTGGTACCTTGTCGGACCACGCCCACCCCCTATTATATATTGTTGGGATTTTAAGGATATGAGATACGTGGAATTTAATTTATCAAGATCTAATGAAGTAAATATATTGCGTATCTGAATCTTTCTAATCAAAATATTACTTAATAATCTTTAAGGATTTTAAAAAATTATCATAATTAGGGATCTCATGATTAAACTTACAAAAACAAATATAGTTAGTATTAGAGTTTAGGTCTTCTTCTCCTTAATTAACTTCTGTATATTGATAACCGGTGGATCATGTCACTCTCTAACTCTCTTATTTATAGAGTTATGGTTTTTTGAATGGAGAGAGGATCTAACCCATTATAATAATTTTTTGGGCAGCCCATTAGGTAACCCATCTTTATTTTCAGAACCTACACCTATTTTTTTTTTTTTTTGAAAAGCCAAAGAGTTTTTATTTTTATGAGTACAAGGGGTACTCAAACCCGTTACATAGGGTCCCTTAAAATGCATAGGGTCCCTCAAAATACAATCATCCCATATGGGTCACCAGTCACTACAGGTAATGTGAATTTCTACTTGGTATTCATCAGTCTCCTCACATCCTTCCTGCTGCCACAATTAATCCTCAAGCATTTTGCTTGGTTTTGTATCCAATCGAACAAGGAAAAGAAGCATCCCTTACTTTTGTTCTTTATCCAATGAAATGAATGGAGTTGAAGTAGCTCCAGAAGTCTTCCTTTATCTGCCTCCTTCCCTCTAAATAATTTCTCATTTTGTGCTAACCATATTGTCCTGATCAACGAAAACCATATACAATCCCATCCCTTCTTCTCCCTTGTTATAATTAACAGATGTGGATGCTGTTCAAATGCCCTGTAGCAATCTCTATCCAACACAGTTGTTAATCCCCACCATTTAAAACATGCTATCCAAAGGCTATATGCTAGATTACAATGGATGAACAAATGATTGGAATCCTCAAACTCTCTATCACATAGGACACACTTGCATTCTGCAATGTTTTGTATAATTCCTCTGTTCAAAGGTTAAGTTTTGTTGGTATTTTGTCCTGCAACAGTTGCCATGAGAAGGCTGCTATCTTATTGGGAATGAACACGTTCCGAACTTTGTGTAAAGCTGCATATTGTTGTTCCAGACTTTGCTCTTGTGTTAATTCTTGATAAGCTGTCCTCGTTGAATAGCATCCGTCCTTGGAATGTATCCACTCCCACTGGTCTAGCTTGCCTCTCGTGATTGGAATTCTTTGTATCTCTCGCTGTAGATTTGCTTCCTGATGTTTTTCCCAACTATACAAGTTCCTTCTCCATTGCAATTTCCAATTCCAAGATCCATTCACCCATGCTCCCATCTGCGCTATCTTTTTATCTTTACCTGTAGACAAAGAGTACAGTCTTGGGTATTTGTTACCTATGCTCTCTCCCCCACTCTAGTTGTCCCACCAAAAATTAATCACGTCTCCTCCCCCCACTTTTAATTTCAAACCATTGGCTAACCAGTCCCGTTTCTCCTTAACTATGGTGTTTATCCTACATATGTCTCTCCACCATGTTGAACCGAAGATAAATCCCTCCCTCAGCCAATTGTAGCTATGTTCCCCTTCCTTGCCATACTTTTCCAAGATGACCTTTTTCCATAGTCCTCTCTCCTCTGACATTAGTCTACCCCACCATTTACCTAACAGAGTCAGATTTAATTTTCCCAAATCTTTCACTCCTAGCCCTCCTCTTACTTTATCTTTGCAAACCTTACCCCATTTCACCCATTTTATCCTATTTCCCCCTTTAGTCCCACCCCATAAAAAACTTCTACAAATTTTATCAAGGGATAGAATTGTATCTTTTGGGATCAAATACATCGACATCCAGAAAATTGGGAGGCTGGACAGTCCTGAATTAATAAGAGTGATTCGACCCCCAAGAGACCGGTAGCTAGCCTTCCACATGGATAATTTTTTGGAGAATAGGTCCATCAAAGGTTTCCAGAACCCAAGCCTTCTGCAGTTTCCTCTTATGGGAATTCCCAAGTACTTAAATGGAAATGTTCCTTTTTTGCAGTACAAAACCCACAACATTTTATCTAATCAATCTTCCTCCACATTTATTAAAGTTAATCTTCAAACCCGAGCACAATTCAAAGGCTCTCAAAATTCCTTTCATTGCCCACACATTTTCATCTGTAGCTAATCCAAACAATATCGTGTCCTCAGCGTATTGGAGATGTGTTATTCTGAAGTCTCGAGAGCCCACCTCCACTCCTTGTAATAGTCCTTTTTGAACAGTCGTGGTAACCAGTCCATTTAACCCCTTAGCAACAATTAAAAACAGAAAGGGAGATAAGGGATCCCCTTGCTTGAGACCCCGTGAGACTGAAAATTATCTTGTCGGGCTCCCATTAACTAAAATTGACACCATGCTCATCTCAAGGCACTCCTTGATCCAATTCCTCCAGGTAGTGCAGAACCCCATTCTCTGCATCATATAGTCAAGAAATCTCCAATTGACCTTGTCGTAAGCCTTTTCAAAATCAATTTTAAACATGAAAGTTCCCTTCTTTCTCTTCTTTGCTTCATCTATCACCTCATTTGCAATAACAACTCCATCCATTAATTGTCTTCCGCTGATGAACGCCATATGTTGCTCTCCAATTAGCTCATCAAGTACCTTCCTCAATCTATGGGCTAATATCTTTGCCAAGATTTTATACATAACGCCAATGAGAGAAATGGGTCTATACTCCTCAATCTTCTGAGTTGTCCACCTTTGGCACTAGGACTATGAAAGAGGAGTTCAAGCCCCTCACTAATTTATTGTTATTGTGGACTTCTTGCAGGAAATCGATGACATCTTTTTTGATTATTTCCCACTCGCTCTTTACAAATTTGAAATTGAATCCATTTGGGTCTGGTGCTTTTAAGCTATCACATTCCTATACTGCTGCCTTAATCTCATCATCAGTGAAGAGGTTAGTAAGCAATCTGTTATCTTCAGAAGTTATTTGCTTAAAACATGCCCCCTCTAATTTTGGCCTCTCCAATTGCTCCTCCGTAAACATGTTTTCAAAGAATGCTGGGATCTCCTCTTTCATTCTGGTCACATCTTCAATCTGAGTTCCTTTTATATAAATGCTATTCATTTCACTCCTCCTCCATCTACCCTTCACATAGTTATGGTAGACTTTTGTGTTGGCATCGCCATTAAGCAGCCAAGTCTTCCTTGATTTCTGTTGGAGCATGCTTTCTTTATACCTTATGCTTCTCCACAGGTCTAAGAAAGCTTCCCTTTTGCTTTTGATGTCCTCCTTGATAGTTGTTCCTTCTCTCCCCTCATATTGACTTGATCAATCTTTGTTGTAGCCTTGTTGATTTTATTGTCAATTTTAGAGACTAGATTTTTGCTCCACTTCCTTAGGGCCTTTTTTGTCATTTTCAATTTCTCTTTAAGCCAGAATCCTGCCGACCCTTGGAGGTTAGCCTCGCTCCAAACTTTTTTTATCAGCTCTCTACATCCTTCTTGCTCCAGCCATGCATCAAAAAATTTAAATGGCTTAGGGTCCCAATCTACTTTTTTTGTGTCTAAGTAAAATTGGGCAGTGATCAGAGATTGTTCTGCTCAATCCCCATTGTCTAGCCTCGTCCCATTTAGCTAACCAACCTCCAGATAGCAAGAATCTGTCAATTCTACTCATGGATTTGCCATTAGTCTGGTACCAAGTGTATTTTCTGCCAACTAGTGGAATATCAATCAACTTCATTTCAGTAATGAAATTGTCAAACTCCTTCATCTCTGTTGTTATTCCTATGCTACCGTTCCTTTCCTCTACTTTCCTGACTGTATTAAAGTCACCAACTAGACATATATTCTCTCCATTTCCTGATATTAAGTTTTTCAGCTCTCCCCATAAAGCCCTTTTACCTGCTAAATTACAATGGGGAGTAGACATCGATGATGATAATGGGAGTATTCTCTGGCACCCACACCTCTTCAATACCTATGAAGTTTTCTCCCTCTAACACCCAAATCTTACTAATTACTTTATGATCCCATAAACACAACATACCTCCTGACCTTCCTACTGGCTCTTTGGCAACATAGTCAAACTCCTCAGATCCCCAAATTGTTCTACATAACTTTTTGTCCGCCAAACCTAGCTTTGTTTCTTGTACAGCTAAAAAGATCACCCTTTCTTTATTCACTAAGTCTCTGAGATGTCACTTCTTCCCAACACCCCCCAACCCTCTTACATTATATGACAGTATATTCATAAGATGGGATCACTAACCTTCTGTGCCTTGCTTACTTTCTTTGCTGCCTCTGCTTCTTTAACTTTTCTGTCTCTCGCTTCCATCTCCTCGAGATTTTTCATGACCATCTCCTCATTCTCAACTGTTGCTCATATCTCTTTTGCAAAATTCCAGAGATGTACTGCCATTTTCTGGTTTGATTGTTCCTTCAATATTCTGTTGCAATTCTCTATTCCGCTATCTCCCAACGATCCTTCTACTACTGAATTGCTGGTACACGGTATGAACTCTAGAATACCCTCTTTCTCTGCCTTTGCATGTCTCAGCTTTGCTTTGCCTCTGCCCATCTTCTTCTAGTTGACCAATCCTAGAAGAATAGCTCTTTGGTACACAGATCTACACAATTCTGCTATCTTTCTGCTCTTTTTCTTATCTTTTTTCCTTTTCTTATCTATCTTCTCCTTCTCCATTCCGTCACTGCTCCCTCGTTCTGTCCAGAATGTTGTGGAATTTTCTGAGTTGTTTCCTTCTTCTGTCTGTTCTTCTAATCCATGTGTTTGCTCTTTTTGACCGTCATCTTCTGGTCTTAATTTGAAGCCCATCTGCATGTTGTTGTTTGTGCCCCAGTGGCACATTCTTCCTTGTCCGATTCTCTATCTGTAGTGTGTTTCTGGCCCAATCCCTTTTGAGTGGGTTCGGCCTGCATATTTGGTCCATTACTTTCTGGATTTTCAATAGAGTCCAAAGTTGTTTGTTTCCTCCCATTTGAATCTGATTCACACTCCCCAATGTCATCTTTGCCACCTGTTTCTGTCAAATATCCATCCACATTAATGCTATCTGCCACAACCTCTACCGACTCTTCTTCACCAATCCGACTATGTGATAGCTTGTCAGCCTTTTGCAACGTTTCACTGCATAGCTATTTCTTCTTGATTCAAACTTGGCCTCAAGATCCGAGTCATCTACCAGCCCAATGTCATTCTTGCTGCATTCTCGGATGTCATCCCTATCTTCATCTTCTTCGATAGAAAATTCCCCTTTACCATCGTGGTTGCTGCCTTGGTGTCCTTCATCTCAATCGCTTACTTTAGACTAGTCTTCTTCAATTTCAGGATCACTTTCAAAGTTTGGAATGAAGTCATATTTCAATGAAAAAAGGTTGTTAGTCCATTCCTCTTTCGTGAATTTTAAATTATACACTGCCCCATTCACTTTAACTTGTCTCTTGACAGAGATTGAGTCCATTATTGTCGTGGAAATGGGGAATCTTGCAATATTGAATCTCCTTTTTTTACTTGTACTGTCATCTAGACAGATGAACTTGCCCCAAGCTACTGACATTCTCTCAAAGAAATTTGGACCCCATGCGTGCAAAGGTGCTCCTTGGCATCTTATCCATGCAAACGTCTCACTTGCCACCACTGTTGGTGACCAAGGTTTTACCTCTGAGAACCATTGGCCTAACCAATCTGGTGCACCATGTACTAAGTCTTCTAGTTCTTCCTTGTCTTCACAATCCATTAGGACCATCTTACCTCCCATTGCTCGAAGGCGACATGAGAAGTAACCTTCCATGTAAAACTTCTCCTGGAGATTTGGAACAATTTCTACAGAGTGGGCTGTTCCAACATAACACCCCTCAAGCCACTTATAATCTTCATCTTTAACTTCATACTCAAAGCCTGTCCACTCTCCTCTGCTGTTCTTCACTTTCCATGTTTGTATTCTCTGTGTCTGTGTTTGCCCATTTACTTCTCTTCTTCTGTGATTCCTTTGGTCACCTATTGCTCGTGTAACCGTCTGTTGATCCCCTGTTTTCTCAAATTTCACGCCTCCTCGTCCTTTGATTGCTTCAGCGTAGGATTTGTCCTAGATTGTATTAGCTATGAATGTGGCTTTCCTGATTTCCTTCATTTCCATTTTCTCCTGCGGGTATTTTGCTACATTTACCCATATTTTCCTTCCCACAATCCGAATCTCATCTAATTTTCTTTCAAGCTCCTTCACATTCTTGACATCTAAAAATCTGATGAAGCCAAAACTGCTGCCATTCTTATTTCTTCTCTGTGGGCTGTAGATTGCTAACACTCGACCATACTTGCAAAAAGTTGACCAAATATCTGTGTAACTCCAATCATCAGGGATATTAGTGAAGAAGAAAGCTGTTGCTTGTTTGTATATCCCTTTATCATATCCCCAGTCTCCCTGAACTTTCTGCTGCCTGCTGCGCCCCTTATATCCTCTTGTCTTTGCTCTCCTTGTGCTGCTTCTTCTCCCTCATGATCTCATCGACTCTCTGTCCAATGCTGGCCAGCCGGCCCTTGTTTGGTGTCTGTTGTCCCAGTCCCTAACTCTCTCTCTTCCTCTTTCTCTCATCTCTCTCTCACACTAGGGTCGTGTTTTTCACGTGAATGAACCTAAACCTACACCTATTCATCTCACACCATATAAAACTAAAATAAAACTTAGACCTATTTAGACTACATCGTTTTATTGGGTTTGATCAATTTTCCATTTGATCCAATTTTAAACATAAAATATAATTAGTGGTAGTCCACATAAAAGTTTCCAATATATATACGTTAAGTTCAAAATGATGTCGACAGCAGTTATTGATTAAGAGCTGATAATTGTCGACAGCAAATTAATTGGTTAACTTGTTCTTCCTTTTTTTCTTTCTCTTATTTTCTTTTAGGAAGGAGCATTTTGTTCTGGCTGCCTGCTGGGGGAAGGGATCAAGATATGGCTTTTGGTGTTTCGATTCAGGTTGCAAGGGTGGAGACAATATATGGCATGAATATAATGTGTCGTGTGTGTGAGAATGTACATTAATGTATAGGGCCATAAGCTATAGTCAGCAGCCTGTAGATGAGAGACGACAAAATTTATTAATTAAACTGTTGCCCCGAAGGTGACATCTCAAACTTTTTTTAAAAACATCAACAACAGATTAACAAGAGATCGTCTTTCCCCTTTGTTTTTTTTTAAGGTGCATCATAATTTATTAATCACTGCCAAAAAGATTATAATTTAAATTGGAAAAAAAAAAAAAAAACCGATGGGTGGTTAGGAAATGCCATGCACCATATTGTGACTTATATTTTAGGGTTAAATTGCAAGCTATGGGAAAACCTGCAGGTAGAACACATCTGCAAGTATTTTCGCTCTCCATACATTCAATTTATTGAATATTTTAGGATCCTAAAATTATGTCGTTTCAATAAGTTTTAATTAAAAAAAATTAAAATAACATATATTTAAATTAAAAATTGAATTTGTTTTGATTTTTTCTTATAATATTTTAATAAAATAATGTAATTTTGAGGTCTTTATTCTCTTTTTTTATAAAAATTTTGGAGACATGCCCAACAAAGACCAATCTCATTATATAATTAACTTTTGTTTTTTATTTGGATCATGCATTTAATGTTACTACCTATGTTTCACATTATTGACAGTTTAAAAGAGAGCATTAGGATTAAGATAAGTAATAAAGTACCCTTGATTTTAAAGATAGATATGTTTAAGGGTTTTTTTAATATATATTATTGTACTTTTTATATTAATTATTTTCAAAAAAAATAAAATTTGACTTTTAATAAGTAATTACCTAATTAAAATAGTCTATGTAGTACTAATAATGAAATTAATAATAGTTTTTATATTTTTTATGTTAGAAATATGTAATAATTACATCTTTAATATGTGTCTTAAAAGTACAAATTAAAAAAAAAAACCTATATTTGAAGTATTAAGTTGTTCTTTTAAGAAGAATTCATTTTTTAATTTTTGTTTCAATAAAAGAAATAATTAATATTTAAAGACGAAGGCACCTGGACCTAGAGGCCCACTGACATTAACCAGCTTGTTAGGTGCATTCCCCCCTCCCCTGGACGGGTTTCGAACCTGCCCGTGTCAAAATGTTCAAAAAAAAAAAAATTTAAAGACGAAGGCACCAGCCTAGGAGGTCAAACGATTATAAACTTTAAGAAAAGTGCACTTTCTAACTTTGATTCGAGTTCAATCTCCCCAAATTTGTACATGTTTTTAAAAAAAAAGTTTAAAGACAAAGTGGAAAGATAATTAATTAAATATTGTATTGAAAATTGAAAATAATAAATAAAATTATATAAAAATTTTCTTTCTAAGAAGTCTATTAAAGTAGAATAAAAAATATTATTATAATAAATTCATAATGTTATATAGTAGTACTATAATTATATCATTTCTATTAAATTTAATAGTTACAGACTCAAATAAAACTCTTGTTTGTTGGCATCTCACTGCCAAAATATTTATGAAGATGCATCATCCATTTTGAGCTGAGTGTTGTGCGCATGGTTTTAAAATC